TTTAATAATTACTATAAGTTCTTTATTATAGATTTAGTAATTAAACTTTAGTCTATAGAACTTATAAGAGAAGAAAGTATAGAGGTATAATTATCCTTTTAAGTTTTATTATAATAGTTATATTTTAATTATATAATTAAATATATTATATTCTATATTAAACTATTTTATTAAGTTTAAGATAATTAGAATAAGTTTATTAATAATAAAGTTTTTAATCTTCTAGAATACTATCTATTATAGTTCTTTTTATATAAAAAGTATATCTTTATAGCTAAAGCTAATAAGAGCTATATTAATTTTATTATAGTGGCCTCTAGCTGTTTATAGTGATTTTTACCTGCTTAGAGCGATAGACCTCCTAACTCCACGCCTCCTGATAATATATATAGCCTTTAGTTATGTGATTATAGTCTCTAACTACGTCCCTCTCCTAACTACAGCTGCACTTATATATATATATAACCTCATAATTTTCAACTTCACTTTAATAACAATATACTATACTATTATTAGTAACGCTCTCTCTATTAGTTAGTGTAAGGTATACTTACTAATAAGCTCTATATAAGGCTTATATCCTCTTTAGTACCTTTAAGTACTTTAGAGAAGAAGTCCTATTTATTAGGGTAACTAAGGATATAGTTAAACTCTATATTAATATTATCTAAAGCTTTTTTAATAAGAGGGATAATATTACTACTTATAGGGGTTTCTAAGAGGTTTATTAATAGGACTATTAAGATAATATACTTTTAGTCTTCTTTAGATTATTCTTTAAATAGGAACTTCTTATTAAGTATATTAAGGTTAAAGTTATTTTAGATATATTATATATTATTTATAGAAATAAAGGTACTATTTAGCTTATATTTAGTAAACTTAAGTGTTTTATATAGTATAGATATTATAAAGGATTTATTATAAGCTATAAGGATAAGTTATTAGTATAGGTTTAAGGGTAAGGAAGAGGAAGAGGGAAGGGTATAAAGCCTTACCTATAGTAGAGTTTTTATACTTCTAGCTATAAGAACCTCTTAGGATAACCTCTTTAGTTAAGGAGTTATTTCTTTTATAGTAGTATTTATAGTATCTTACTAGAAGGTTTAGTAAAGCTATTATTAACTAAGCTATAAGAGCTTTAGTGACTTATTTAGCCTTAATATAATTAGCCCTACTATATATAGCGCTACTACTACTAGCTTTACGCTATATAGCTAGCGCTATTACTATTCTACTAGTTTATTTAGCTAAGGTATACGTTTAACTTTATATAAGGGTTTACCTATTAGTAGGAATATATAGGGTTTCTATACTATTTTCTTTAACTAGTAGAGGGTATAAGTTAAAATACCTATATAGTGTTTCTAGAATTATGCCTATATATAGGGTGAATTTTATTATAGTCTTTTTATAGGGGGGCTGCGTTATAACTATAAACTTAATTTTATTATAGTTTTTAATAAATTTATAATAGAAGTTAATAAAACCTAGAAATCCTTATACTTCTTTAAGGTTATTAAGTATTAGCTATTCCTTAATAACTTTAACTTTATTTTCTAATATATAGACCTTTCTAAAAGTAATAGTAAATCTAAAATATTCTACTTTCTATATATAAAACTTACTTTTTTTAGATTTAACTAGAAATTTAGTTTCTTAGAAAGTTTATAAGATATAGTGAATATTTTCTTAATATTTCTTAAGTATAAGAGAGAAAATAAATATATTATCTAAGTAGATTATTATATAAACATTAATATACTTATATAAAACTTAATTAATTATATTCTAAAATATTATAGAGATATTAATAAGACTAAAAAGTATAATAAAGTACTTAAAATATCCTTTTTATATTCTAAAGGTAGTCTTTTATTCTTTACTTTATTTTATTTTAATTAAGTTATAAACTCCCTTAAGATTAAAAGTTATAAATTAATTAGCTTTATAGAGAAGTTATTTTATTTTATTAATAAAAAGTAGGAGGTAG